CTTTATTACCTCATCTTTTATCTTTTCAGACGTATCTGGTCGTATACGACGAACTTTTTGCTTGACTGTAGGACAATCTTCCTTTGTTGGTAGACAATGAACCACAATGTCAGTATCGAGTCCCGGCATATCTTCATAAGACCAAGCAAACACCTCAACATAGTATGCAACATCTGGACCAATCTACTTTTGACAACGTCTTCCAAGTTGGCGCCAATCTTGACTTCCCTCTTGTCTGCCTCAATACCTAAGTTGATCACTTCAACTGGCTCCTCATGCGGTTGGATGGCTTTTTCTTATTGCATCAGAAGTCTGGCTAGTTCCCCGGGTATTTCACAATCTTCTTCTCCTTCGTCTTCGGCTTGGTAGATTGGATGTTCAAAGTCATAGATGTCAATAGTAAAGTCGTTGTCAATGGGATCCAGAGTGGATGTGGATCTGCAAATGTGCGTGTGTGCATGTAAGGTCACCTGGCTATTTTGAAAATGCAATAAAGTGGAAGAAAGATAATGAGCGCAAATTTTGAATGCAAAAGAGTCCAGTGTTTTTCATTAAATGATCATATGGCATATGAAAATGAACACAACCTTAACAAATGGACTATGGTGCCCCGGGCACGGCACATGGCTTAAATTCATTGTTTCAATAAAATTACAGACAAAGTTCTTAAATTAATAAAACAGTAAATGTTAATCACTCCTTGTTGAAGGAGATGGGAATTAAGTCCTTAGCATGTCAGTTGTTGAGTCCTTCCTCGGCAGTAGGGTAGATCCAGTCTTCATAGTCACAATCGTCTTCAGAGTCTTCAATGACATTCACTTCATGATTACTGATGCGAAGAGGTGGTTTTCCTATGCGAACACGTCTGACCTCCTTTTGAGCTTTGGCAGTGAATCCAAAAACACATTTGTCTGTTTTGAACGGGATGTCAGGGAGTTGCCCCCCAAATGGTACATCTTCCATCTTCAATCACAGCACGAGCATCTTTGAGGGAAACCATCCTAGGCACATCTTTAACAGCTTTTGGAACATCAGGAGTAGCCTTGGCTGCAGCAACCATGGGAGAGACCACTTCGAAGGCTTGGCAGGGAGTTTCTATGAACTCTCCATCCATCTCAACATACTTAAACGAATTTAGATGGCTAACCATAAACTCTTCTTCACCACAGACGGTAACAATCTTTCCTTTGACTGGATATTTCAACTTTTGATGAAGAGTGAAAGTCACCGCTCCTGCCCCATGTATCCAAGGGCGTCCCAGTAGGCAAGAGTAGGCAGGACGAATATCCATCACGTAGAAAGTTGAATTGAAAATTTGAGACCCAACTTTGACAGGGAGATCAACTTCCCCATGGACCATCCTTTTTGATCCGTCGAAAGCCCTTACCACAATGTCACTTGGCTTCGACATCAAACCTTTGCAATCCAACTGATCTAGGGCACCTTTGGGCGGGACATTTAGAGAGGAACCAATATCCACAAATACATGGCCTAGAGTGGTTCCTTTGAATTCAATGGAGACATACAAAGCTTTGTTATGATTTCTCTCGACGGGAGTTAAATCAGTATCCGAGAATCCCAATCCATTATCAGCAGCCAAACTCGCTACATAATTTTCAAACTGATCGGCTGTAGTCTCTTGAGGAACATGAGCTTTCTTTAGAAATTTTGTCAATGCTTGAGCATGCGCATTAGAGCAAAGTAATAAAGATAGCATAAAAGTCTTAGAGGGGGTTTTCCGCAACTGCTCTACTCTCTTATAACCACTTTTCCTTATCATCTTTAAAATCTCCTCCATCTCTTGGGTAGAGGGTTCCTCAGTAATAATGTCTTTGGCAGATGCCTCCATCCTGGAAAATTTGCTCTAATCTAAGGGTGTGTAAAAATCTATGTCTAAAGCTTAATGCTAAGAGGGAATGCATGTGAAATAAAATACAAGGAAAAGAAGGAATGTTTATAAAGTTTTACTCGCCTAGGATCCACGACCTAATGCATATGTATCCCTTTCGAGGAATCAGAGCACCGTAGTTTGGCTCACATGTTTTGGTTTGTTGTATGTTTTTTACCTTGAAAAGGGTTTTAAAAGAAAAGCCAAGCGGCAAAATGAAGTTTGAATTGGTTGGTGTTTTTTACCTTGAAAAGGGTTTTTGTAGTATTATAGTGTTTTATGAATTTAAAAGAAAAAAAGTATTGGTTTTAATACAAATGTAAAAGAGAAAGAAAAAAGGTCTAAGAGAGACTAGCAAAGTAAGGCTAGAGCTATCATGCAAAGTTGATCCTATAGTTAAGAATAAAAGGGAAATGTACCTATTATTGCATGTATGGTTTGCAACATAAGGTCTATTTCAATTCGCTTCCTAAAATTGAATCGAGAAATCCTACGGGAGCATGTAATTGTGCAATAAAAAGTAAACACACAAAGCTTGAGGAGTATCCACTCACTTAAGTAGCACACGCCTAACTGAGGTATCACGTCACCAAGGAAGGATAGGAAGAGGAATTACGCCTAACCATGATATCGTATCATCGAGGTAGGACAATGGAGAAGGGGAACCTAACCATGATATTGGATTATCAAGGTAGGATAAAGGGAGACTTAACCAAGATATTAAATCATCGAAGTAAGAAAAAATGGGGGAATCGATAGCTTTTAGCCATGATAGCACGTCATAGTGGCAAGAAGAATAAGGGGTGTCAAATATTAACTAAGATATCATGTTATCTATGTAAGAGGAGAATGAGAGTGAATCGTCACAGGCAATTAAACAGCCAACCAAGATATTGCATCATAGAGGTAGGAGATAAAAGGCAATAGTGAGATCACATCAAAGCGTCAACGTGCACGACACATGAGCTAGTAACAACGCGTGGGGGTTGATTGTGAACCTTATATTCCACTTGACCGAATCGATAACAAGAATAGCATGATTGGTAGCATCGACGTACGATGCAAGCTACGAATGACATGTGGACTAGAAATTGTGGGGGTCGATTACAGACCCTTTTCCACTTGCCTTTTTTGAGGACTTATCAATGGGGAATGGGGATGTGGCGCCTTCATCGAGGTCTTTGGCACATTTGTAAACATACAAATGGTAAACAAACAAGCGCATATAGGAATTTCCTGCGGCAGGTCTTTTAAAACAGCATTGTCCACCTAACACAAGGACTCCTAGTCATGCATCTCTAGTCCTATTTCTCATGGCAAAGAAAGCGATAAAAGATGCGAGAGATAAAAGGAAATAGAATAGAATATCAATCAAACATAAGTTCGTCAATTATCAGACGAAAGCAAAGAAACCTGAAAACTTCGTGCAAGCTTCATCAAGCAACAGAGAAATAGTCAGACATAATATCCAATATGAGAATCAAAGTCGCAAATGAAAAAATAATTCTCATGCGGAAATTCCATCGCATCAAATCAAAGTCCCAACACAAGATATGTCTACACAATAAGACAATAATCCAAATGTTGCGTGTCGCATGATAAAGCCTTCGGGAGCTTGCACAAGTCACAAAACGAGTTAAAAAATAACAACGCAACATAAACCAAACTCAAGTATCAGATTACAACTCAAAAATAACAATGAAATGCAAAGGAACAAGGTCCAAATAAGCAATGGAAGATGAAAACCAAAAGTAGGTCAACAACATTGTTACCTCATGGATTGCAAAGTAAGTTGGTCTAAAAGTGCCACAACTCAATGCACATGTCCAAGAAATATCAATGCAAGAATAATAGTGCATAAATCGACAATTAAAATGCATTTCAAGCATGACTTTCATCACCGGGCAGCACCTTCGTCATCTCATGAATCAGAAAAATAAACCAGTCTAAAAGTGAACAAACTCAACAACAATGGTCCATAATCGAACAATTAAGCATGAACATGCATTATATGAGAATTAAATCACAACATACATGTTATAATAAAATCCGGACAAAATTGTTATTATTTTTGAAGTGCTCGAAAAGTCGGAATAAAATCCACCGAAATTGGTACCGGTATCCATTAAAAGTGCCAACAAGCTCAAATAAGCCTCAAACGTAAATTAAATTACCATGTAAGTGCCACTTACCATTCCCGGGCAGAAACTTACCATGTTGCAAACGTGTGCGAAAAACGTTTCGAATATGTAATTCTCAACATCAATCATCATCACATGCACAATCAAACTCAAATGAACCGCAAACGATATTTAAATCATGCATTTACACTTACTTATCAATTTCGGGCAGCAACTCATGAATCGATAAACATCCAAAAAATTGAATTGCAAAAACTCATTTGGACATATCAGAATCAACTATCAACTCATGACATAATGCCTAGAATTCACAAACAATTGTAAATGAGTTAGATCCACACCGGTAATGGTTTCCAACCATAAACACCTTAATTCACGAGTTAACACAATCACTTGAGTCGAAAGTTTTAAATGTTGGAAAAATAAATTATCATTCAACCCAACTCATAATTGTATCAACTCATGAATTTACCGTTAATTCTCAACAACCAAATAAAATTAATTCAACTCATGAACTCAACCTTAATTCCATACGATGCCAACATTATTTGAAAATCAAGAATCAAACACCTCTTTATTTCAAGAGTTCAAAGTCAAATATCATCAATTCAACCAAACTCTATCCTATTCCACATTTCTTCATCATTAACCGTTCAAATATATCTCACAAGTACAAACCAAATTCAAGATCTAAAACTCAATATTCAACTCATGTGATTATGAACATGAAGAATTACAAATTAACTCTTCACTTAAACAACAATATCAAATCTAAGCATTAGATCAACATCTTAATTAATTCAATCACAAACAAATTCAAATCTCGTGAAAAATTACATGAAGCATCTCCATTAATTTCAAGCTTCAACTCAATTTTCACTTCAATACTCAAATCTAACTCACGAACATATATCTCAAACGTCACAAAATCAAAGTAAACAAATAAATCCAAGAGGTCTTACCGTAAATTGATGAAATCGGAGAAGGAAGTAGCGGAATCGGAGAGAAGTCCATTGGGATTGCGACAAAGGGAGGCTTCACCGACCGACGATATATCGATAAGGCAGAAGGAGCTAGCTGGCCGTGAGTTAACAGCGGAGGAAAGAGGCTGCTGGCTAGACTCACGCCATGATGGGGGGAGGTTGCTGGTAGCGGTGGTTTGCGCGATTGAGAGAGAGGAAGGCAACTTGAAGTTTAATGAAGATTTGATGAATTTGTTCTTGAGATGTTCTCGAGAGTTGAGAGAAAGAATTGAGAGAAAAGTGAGACTGATTTGAGTGTGAAATCTAGCAAATGAATTGACTGTTGTGAAAAATAGTGAGGCAAAATTGATATATAGTCTTGACAATTGGGCCTTGGTTTGGGCCAAGAGAAAGCCCAATCAATGTCTTCACAAAACTGAATTTTTATTGTCAGCGAACGCGATCGAACGGAAAATCCACAAAACTTAATGATAATTGATGCGTAATCTCGACACGAGACCAACAACAAAAATGTAGATGACAAAATTTGTGACGTCGTGCTGAAAGAATGCATACAATACGATAAAAATAGAGCGAGTTATGAATTTTCGAGTAGCGAGAATATTTGACACTGACATTGTCTTTTTCAGTAATGCAGAATTTTTCACTGATCAGTTTGAGATGCGAGCCATGAACCGAAGTTTTCAGAGCTGAATCCTAACTCGAGCTCTGAAGCAAACTTGTAGCCAACATCATTTGTGAAATTATGCTAAATAATCGTCTCGATACGATAAAAATTAAAGAAGTTATGACTTTTACAATATCGAGAAACAGTGAAATAAAAATCTGATTCGGCATGATATTTTCTCTGGTAATTTGCATTTTCGGGGATCTTCCTCGAAGAATTGGTCCTTGACCCGAACATACATAATGAAGATGACATCAAGACTGATTTTTTGCCCAAATAACCACTAAAACATGTCGAACCGGGCGGAAGTTATGAATTTTTGAACGTCTGAAAAATAACAGTTCAACACATTGTTTTCACTGTATTTTCACTGTATCTTTTCAAAGTACCCGCACATTCGAAGATCTTCTTTACCGAATCAGCTTCCGAGCCGAACATACAAACTGAAGATGATATTAAGACAGTTTTAACGCCTCAATAACCGCTCCAAAATCGTATTCCAATCAGAAGTTATGAATTTTCAAGTACCCACGATACGACAGACCAACAATTATATTCAGTACATTGTCTTCAAAGAATTAAAATTCTCGAAGATCTTTTTCATAAAATTAGCCTTTGATCTGAACAAAAGAAACGATAAGAAAATCGTGACAGTCTCAATGTTCGAAGAATCAATCGAAAATACTTAATTGACTGAAAGTTATGAATTTTCGAACACCCGAGAAACAGATAACCAGTCATTAAATTCAAATATCGTTTCAGGGAAATCAAATTCTTTGGAGACTTTCTTCACAGAATTGGCTTCTGGTATGAACAGATGAAATGAAGAAAATACCGAGACGGTTCCAATGCCTAAGGAGTCATTTCAAAACAGTATCCCGATTGAAAGTTGTGAATTTATAAGCTCAAACCAGCAAAGATGTTGTTTTTGATTCGCACCGTCTCAAATTCACTGAAGCACCCGGTTTCTCCGCAATTGAGAGCGTGTTGAAATACATGAGAGATTAACATGATGATGACTTGATTAATTATTGATTTTATAGCTTACGAAATGTGCAGAACACATTTAAACTTTGAAAAATCAGATTTTTGTCTTATTATTGCCCGACAAAACAATCTTTTTTATGTGTAGCTTCCGAAAAGAAATATCTTGATCCCATGACCACTTACTATTTAATGATGCATGCGATGTTAGATGACCTAATAAGAAGTATGTACATGAAGGATGAGAGATGCATAAGCCAGATGATCCTTATAAAGGGGTATGACAAATTTGGAGTATGACACTCGCAAGAACTTTTTTTTTTATCATGGGCCTTTCGTCATGGGCTTTATGAGTGATCCAAAATGATAAACCATGTTTTGCATAATATTTTAAAAAGTGATGAAAAATAAAGACTGTCTTGGTTTATTGATGTGCTTTTGATGATGACAACTTGAATGGCAACTTGGATACAAGTTGATTTCACTTGTGAAAATGCAACCTTTGATAACAATTAAATTCAAGCAAGTATGACAAACGGTCGAATAGCAAGCATGCGAGTTAGGTTTTGATGAAAATTAATGACATTTAACTAGAAGATATCTCAAGCCTCGTCTCCAATAAGATTCAAGAAAGTGCTTATATGATTGATTTACTTATCAAGTCTTGAATCTTCAGAGTGTGAAAAATAAAAAGTGTAAAAGCTTGCTCATTCGTGTATGAGTGAATGGTGTTTTGTAAAAACACAAAAGCATTCTCATAAAGTAGTATCGCTAAATCACACACACTAAAACATGTTTTAAAGATTAGTTTTCTTAAATAAAACATCCCAATTTTTTTTTGAAAACGTGTCAGATGAATTTGAAATTTTCGGAATAAATTTAGACAAATACTGTCAAGTCGATTGGAATATTTACCCAATCGATTTCGGTCAATGCAAATATTGTCCAAAAATGAATGTGGCAGTGTCTTAATGAATAGAAACTTTTATGTATTAACTATTTCCATTTTGAGCATATGCAAACGATTATTGGGGGCTCCCAATCAATTGGCATATGGTCGCAATCGATTGTAACATTTATTTCGGCTCATGAGTCTTTCTTTTATTGTGCCAACATCTAACCTATAAATAAAGGCCTATCCCTTCACATTTTCACATCCATAAACATGAGCCTTCTATCTCACTCCTCACTCTTCTCACTCTCTCACTAAAATATTTTCTATTTTTTCTCACTTAATTTAGCCATAGCCCTTCAAGAAAGTTGATGTGTTTAAGTGAGGTCGTATATATTCTAAAAAAGGGTATTATTGTAAATTCAACAAGGAATATTTTTTTTCTCTTGGTTGAATAATTTATCCTTAAAAAAGGATTGTTTAAGGAAGTGTTTGTTTTGGTTCAAATCTAAACCCGCGAAAAATATGTTTTGGGGATTTAGCTTCTTAAGTCGTCTTTTCGATTCGTAAGCTTAGCATGTGTAAAACATTACTTCGGTTTGAGATCAGCCTGAATTAAAATCTCATCTTTAATTCGAGATCATTCCGATTTAAAATCTCATATTCGATTCGAGATAAATCCGATTTAAAATCTCACTGCGATTCATGGCCAGCCTGTTTAAAATCCCGGTACAGTTCAAGACTAGCCCGGTATGAAATTGCTACTTGGTTCATGTTTTGAAGGAAGACTAATCGCTTCAGTGCATTTTTTGGAATAAATATTTAATCCTTTAGTTTGATGTTCTTTGTTTGGTTAGAATTTAGCCGAAAACTTCATGTTTCCTTGTATAAGAGGGTTTGGAGGTTTAACTTACTAAAAGTCTTAATCATTACTAGATACTCTCAAAATTAAATTTTAGAGGTAAGATTACATCTTCTTGGCCGAACTTGTATAATTCTATGGTTTTATTTATCTTATCCTTAACTCTTTATTTTCCGCATATTTTTATTTCCCCTACTATCACTTAAAAGTTTTTATCAAAATGTTGTTTAACCCTGGAGATAATAACAATAAATATTTAAACAGTCAATTTTCAAACCCCTATAATTCACCTACTCCCTCTTGTGTGTAAAGTCACATGTCTAACAAGTGACATCAAATCCTAACTCATGCTCAAAGACTAATCCTCTCTGGAGGAAGATAACTTCCAATATTGTTCTAACAAAGGGTCTTTCCTAAACACACATTCTCCATTTAATGGTGCTAGGTTTGAAATATGGAAAGTCATATTTATAATTTTCATTCAAAGTATTGATTTACAATTGTGGAAAACAATAGTTAATGATCTGTTTATCCCTACTCACTACATAAATTTAGAAGTAGTAAATAAACCCAATTTCCTATGGACCATAGGAGAAAAGAATTTTTTTTGAAATTGACTTCAAAACAACAAACTTTTAGTAATGTCCTTAGATGATAGAAAACTTATTTATGTTTATAATTGTAAATCCACCCAGAAAATATGGGATATTCTCGAAATGATATACAGAGTTTCTTCGAGTATCGAACGAGTGGATATAAACACACGAAGCGGAGAAGATGAATGCTTCATTCATAAATGTCTCTAAAAAATTAGAAAGGGTAAAAATTATATTGAAACGTTTGTTACTAACCAATATATAAGAGTTAAGAATTGAAATCAGAAATCAGATCTAATCCTTAAAGTAAAAGACGAGAGTGTTTGTGAATTTCAAGAAGAAAAAAAGATGAGATCATAGAAAAGTTTAATTAATTAGTTCAATTACTTAAAGATAAAGATATAAGCTCAAAAAATTAAGAACCTTCAACAATTTCATCAAATCCTTCAAAACAACTCTTGTGATCTCCTTCGGAAGAACGTACTCAATAGTTGAACGATCGTTGGAGAATTCGATAACAAATAAAGGAGCTTCATATGTTAGAGGATATCATGAATAAGAAACCTCATCTAGTGAAATCTTCGAGAAAATAACAGAAAATAAAACCTCTGAAAATGATGAAGAGCCAGCCTCAGGAAAAACACTTTAAGAATATTCCTCTAATGAAGAAGATGAAGTCTGATTGAAAGTATCTCACGGAAAACATAATTGTGAGGTAACAAAACCATCTTACAAGAACTTATTTAAAATAAGTACTAAGTTAATTAAAGAAAATGATATGATTAAAAAAATAACTTAGACCTTAAAGAAGATCTAGAGTTTCTTGAAGAAGGTAATAAAACGCTTAATTTAGAAATAACTAACATTAGAAACTCAACATGAACTTGTGATACTTGTAAAGAAAGTGACTGATTTGCATAAAACGCGAAGTAAGTTTACTAAAATTTAAAAAAAAAACCTTGACTTGATATTATCAAGTCAAAAAACTTTTGTAAAGAAACATGGATTAGGGTTTAAATCCAATAAACACGTTGTAAAAAGATAAATAGGAAGAAAATAAATCGATTTGTTTGTAAATGCTCGCATTGTAATAGGTTAGGCCACATAGAACCATTTTATTTTGATAAATTGGAAAGGTCTAAAGATAGTGACCCTAGACCTTCTAAAACCAAAAAACGCATCGGGGCCCAATAAAATTTAGGTATTAAAGATGAAACCCTAGTATATTTTAGAGGAGTGCTTTACTGATTATATGAAACCTTTGAGCATATTAAATAAAATTGTACAAAGCAATAAATATACTCTTGAGTATAGCATAATTTTTGGTTTGAAGTATCTGATTCAAGAATGATTATTGATGGTGTCAATGATGGTGATCAAAGTAAGGTTTTTCGTTTAGGATGGTCTCAACATTTATTATCTATGATGATTGACTAACCTCCTAACAGGTTGAATAGACAAGTCTGTGGTGGACTTATCTATCTTAATGTTTAATCAACTTTTGTATCCAACGACCCGTATAGAAGAACACGCCACAATTTGTTTGCATTTCCCTTTAAAGAGAAAATTTTTATCAAGGCCTTTTGATAATTAAGGTAGAACACAATTTTAAAGTTAAAACGATTGAAAAACTCTAATTAATCCTTTAAAACAATGCGTTTAATTTTTGCTCATAAATTAAAAAAAATTGGTAACCCAATGGATGAGCTAGTCTTTTATAGAAAAGATGTGCAAATAGGCTGGACAAGGGTGCAAATAAATAAGAGATCCAAAGACAAGCACAAGGCCCAAAATCATAAATTGCTGAAAATAGTTTGGCAATCGATTGGTATGACCTCACGACCCAATCGATTGGATGCTCTCAAAATTCGATTATTTGAAAAATGGTGTTCAAATAACAACTCTTTCTCAAATTGAGGTCACATCGTCGGTGGTTACTGTGTTAATGTGTAAAATTGGCAAGTAGGCATTATAGTCCATATCAAATCCTTAGGTATACGAGGATGGTAGCATACAAGCTCAAATTACCTACTGTATCGAGGGTGCATCCTACTTTCACGTGTTTTTTTTTTAAAAGACATTGGGAGATTATCATGTGGATGAGAAACTTCTAGAACATATGAAGTGAGGTGTGATGCTGTTTGAACCAGACAAGGCATTAGTCATGTGTTTGGTTGATAAAAAGGGGAAGCTGCAAACCAATTTTTGATCCCATGGGCAAAGCAAGAAGGGAGATGAAGCAACATGGGAAGATGTAGTGATGATTTAGAGTCGGTTTTCAAAATTCTGCCTTGAAGGCAAGATTGCAAGCTGGCGCGACATTGTTAGCAACTTACACAATGTTAGAAAAGGGCCAAGGTCTGTAGTAGCTCAAAGTGCACCTCAGCGGCAAAGGGGTAAGAGAGACATAATAGCTGAAGGTGAGAAGGGTGAGCTAGCAGCTAATGAGACAGATTAGTGTAACTGATTTCTGTTATATTGTATGAAGGAAGTAAATAGTAGTGGATTGTTCCTAGGGAGGTGTCCAGTGTAGCAATAGCTTTCCATATGCGCTTGCTCAGTGGCCTTTAGATTCAGACAGATCATTTCCTTCTGGAAACCCATTTACTATACATCAATAATATACAATCAGTCGCTTTTCTGAGTCCTAACACAAACCATTTTTATAGTACATAAAAATTATTGAAACTAACAAAGTAAAATGGTTGAACATTCATTTTCAACATAGCATCTAGTGAAGGTCCCACACCAAAGTTCGACTTTTCTTTAAGGCCCAACAACAGATTACATCCATCGAACTCCAATATTTTAATTCTGGTCCAGAAAATTGCCTTAAAGAGACCAAATTTCAAATTAAAATAAAAATAGGTGTAGATCAGTGAACAATATAGACTAACTACCTGTAAATTCTATTATACCATGCACGACAAAATATTACCACATTATCTATCATATGTCTGCAGCAGGGATGTTGCCGGGCAATGCTACCTGCAACAAAAAAATAATAATAATGAATTACTTACGCAACAAATGCCACGGAACACATACCAGAAAAATGACACCGAACTCAAGAGGGAGAGAAAAGTAGTACCTTATCACCCAGTTTGAAGGCAGGCAGTCCCTTGCTGCACTAAACGCATCCCCTAACCCACACTGTAAACCAAAGGTAAACTTTGAGAACAATGGCCATTAAAGGAAAATAATAACAATCTTAAATAACATTAGATATTGACACAATAGGAAGTAACTATTTAGAGATTAACTCCCAGATATTCACTGTGCAAGCGGACTATAATACAACCCAACCTAAGAAGATTTTCTAAAATTTATATTCAACAGAACTTCATTTTTTGAAGTGCTAGATACAATTCAGTTGGGTTTTTAAAACCAGAAGCCAAATTTAAAATAACAGGAGTCTTTTCCAATCAAGTCACGTTTGTTAAATAGATTCAGAAAACTCTCCTTGTTTAAATATTGTCAACTCAGTCACAGCCCAGTTTCCATATGTAAATCAAAAGTTTATCTTTCTTCATTTTGTTTTTAAATTTATTTGAGAATATAAGCTTTATTAGTCTAATTTAAACCATACAAAGGATTACGTTATGTACATACAGGATTAGATAAGCAACTTAATCACTGGCTTGGGACAGTGAGCTACATTTGATCCGGCTGTTTTCAGAAACAACCACTAAAGGGCCCAGGTGCTAGACATTAGCTTGAACTCGCACCTGCACTACTTAGTGACCGATCTGCTTCTGTCAGTCAACCTCAACGGAAATCAAGTTAATAATGTCTCAGCCAACCCAAACAAAACTGACAATAAAGGAATCCCACACGACAAGGAAAACCAACCCAAAAAACTGACAATAAAGGAATCCCACATGATGAGGAACGCCCGCCCAAAAAAACTTAGCAGCCAATTAGTTACCCAAAATCTGTTCAATCAAACGATGACCAAATTGGAAAAACATGCGTGAGAAGGAAGATTTTGAACAAAAATTTCACTGCTCCAACAGTAGTGATGCTTGAATCTGCCAAACTCGTGGCATCTCCAAATAGGAAGCATGTGAGAAGGAAATGACTGAACAAGATTCATGCTCCTCTAGCTTAGGTGACAGAAGCAAGCATGAATTAATCTAGCAAAGTGTTATGTAGAATGTCCTTAAATTTTGACAGAGGAACAACAAATGGAAGTTCTGCAGCCAGAGAACATTCAAATATACATATTTGCAAAAAAATAGTTTGCCGGTAGAGTTTGATAGGTAATTATGGCATTGAGGAGTTACAGTGGATATGAATTATATCAGAGCAATATGTAAACAATAATGCTATTAATGGAATTGGTTCAATATTTGTTAGCCAAAGTTTTATTGTAGAAATATGCTTGCTTGCTTTGAAAGACTTGGAAGTCAGAACCAGAAAAACAGAACAAAATCAAGACAACAAGAAATGCAAAACAGAATGAAATCATGGATGACATAGTACATATTTAAGAGTGTCATTCCAACTTTAGTACCTTTTTCTCCAGATCACACCTCTAACTCCGTGCAATCAAATCAAATCAAAGTAACAAACAAGCAATTTCATACACAGTTTTAACTTTCAACAACAATTCAATTTAAGATAATCAAAGTAATATACAAGTTATTTCATACACAGATTCCACAGTCATTCGATTTCAGATAAACAAAAATAACACTCAGCACATTAAAACAATTTTGCACAGAAAAGTGAAAAATGCATAAAAGTTAGGCAGTCAAAATACTACAATTCAGAGGACTTACCAATCCATTGATGTCTAACAAAAGTTCTCATTTGTCTAAATTCTAATCTAAACAAACATCATCAACTCCGATCTACTGTAAACATTGTTGTGCTCATCCTCTAGAGAAGGGTATGCTGCAACAAGGGCGTCCTGAGCTCCAATATACAGTGAGTTATAAATCTTCCAGTACACTTCCCTAACTTTTCGAGCAGGATGGAACAATCCTTGGAGACAGTAATTAAGAACAACAGCAGCACCCAAGGCTACCCGCATCCCTTCAATGGCTTCCATCACAGCATTTATCACATGTGGAGAAGTTTCAAATATGTTTGGCCAGACATAGTTCAGCAAATGGACCAGCGCATCCTCACAACCCAAACCAGCAACTCCCAGTGCCATGTGCTTCACAGCAGATGCAGCTGTCTGCCTATGAACCAAATCCCTGTCCATAAGAGCATCCTCAAGCAAAGGAGTCACAGCATAGATATAGTCCTTACCCATTTCGCCAATATATTCAAAGAGGAAAGAGAGAGATTTGAGCACACCATTTTGCACATTAAGCTCTGGCACACGATACTCGTTCATCAATGCTGGCAAAACTGTGAATGGTGAACATGTTTCTGCAACAATAGCAATGGCCACAGTAGTGCATACACGATTCTGCCTCTCCTGCACTTTGAGATTATTCAACAGAGTTGCCAGGACATCCTGTGGTCCGATGGCTTTCGCAATATATCCGAAAGTGTTCACAGTAGCTCTACGAATTCCCTTCTTGTGAGCCTTGAGCATCTCAAGAAGCTCAAAACAAATCCTCATCCATTCTCTGGCAGGTACAAACTCAGCCCCACGATCAGCAATCCTACCCACAAGGTCAATACAGTTCTCCTGGACTTTCTCATGCCTATTCTTCAAGATTGGAGTCAACCTGGGAAGCAAATCCTTAATGGGCGGAGTCATCTTCGTCATACCGATAACATTAACAATAGACTTAAGAGCACCCAGAATTGAACCAAGAACTTCCGGATACTCTTCTCCAAGATATTCATACAAGACAACACCAAGATGACCCATCAATTGTTCCTCATGGCATTGCTTCATGACAACAGCAATCCTCGAAATGAGGTCTGCTGCTTGCTGCCTCACCTTTGCACTTTTATTGTTTAACCTCCACTTGATGGTACCACATATCTGAGGAAGATATGGTTTTACTCTCTGCCCGAGCGAATTTACAACTGCGCCGAACCCATTAAGCATCACATTAGCATCATCACTGGTCTGCTCTTGGAAGGCATAAAGAATACCATCAATCAAAAGCTCTTCCAACCGTGGATCTATATCAGATGATCCCAAGTTAGTGACCACCTTCTCAATAGTTTCCATCACCATTCGCCTGTAAGGTTCACTCTCATCTTTAAGATCTTCTACGATTCTTCCAACAATATCAGCAACACCAACCTTGTTTGCTATCTCAACCGTCGTCTCCACAAGTTGTTTGTAGTTTCTTCTATCCAAAGCCATCCTCCTAACCCAGAAGTTTCTGAAAAACTCAGGGAGGATATCAGTTCTAATATACTCGGCTTCCACACCCTCGGTACTCACACATTGCTTCACCACTTTCAGAACAATTTTCTTCATTTCTTCATCGGGTGACTGAAACTCCCGAATCAAAATAAGCATGACTTCCTTAGTATAATAGCTGGCATATAAGGCTTCCATCAATGGAATGATAAACCCAATTGCCTTCAAAAATGCAGCCAGCACCTTACCACGGTGTTGCCTAATACCCTTCCACAGAGGCTTCAACACCGAGTCAAAACTTTCAATACCATAAGGAGCAGCAGCTTCAGCAAGAGCGGCAAGAGACAGGGCAGTGATCGTCCTTACCTTCTGATTCTCATCACTTAGACCATGCTCTATAATTTCAACAAGAGACCTCAGATGGGGCAACACAGCACAGCCAATTAAAATGGCAATCTGCTGAACAATCTTAATTCCGGTATGCCGAGCTTGCCAAGATTTCTTACTCTGACAAACAGCCTTCAAGAAGGGCAACAAAGCAGGAATACCAAGAGCAGATGCAACAACACTGAAAGCTCTAGCAGTAGTATTCCTAACATATTCATCAATGTTATCTATGTCAGGCCTCATGGCAGCAATCATAGTGGCCAGGCCAGCAGCTTTACTGAGATTAGATATTATTTCCCTCCCCTCAACACGGGCATAATAGTCTTCGTCAATCAAAAGGGGCTCAATAACAACAAGAATCTTGTGCACATAAGGGCGAACCAATTCATCCAATTTATAAAGAACTCTATCAATTACCTTAACCAAAAGATGCCTCTCCTGGTCCTCCAAAGTAGGCTGCATAAGCAACGGCAGAATCCGGTTAAACAAAGGTCCAGCGCCAAACTCGCGTGCCTTATCAGTTAGCTGCCTCAAAGCTGTTTTCCTTTGTGGGGGTGTACCGTTCTTCACTTTAAGCAGAAGCTTCATAATCTTCCTCTCTTTCTGTTCATCCGGAGTCAATTCCTCTTCATTTTCTTCATTCAACAAAGCCCCAAAATACTGATAATCTTCAGGCTTCATGAAAGGCAAACCACCAGGAGCTTCCTTAGGAACATCAAACTGCTGACCACGATTCTCTTCAGGAATTTGATAAAGCGGAGTCCCCATTGGCGTAGGCGTAGCAAGAA